GAGGGCATTATGCTGAGTGAAATAAGTCAATCACAAAAGGGCAAATACTGTATGAAACCACTATTATAAAAGCTCAAGAAAAGGTTTACACACAAAAAGTAACGATCTTTGATGGTTATGAGGGAGGGATGGAGGGGGAGGAAAAAACACTAACTAGGTAGTAGATAAGTGGTAACTTTGGTGAAGGGTAAGACAGTATACAATACTTCGGAAGTCAGCACAACTTGACCAAGGCAAAGTCATAGAAGCTTCACGGACATATCCAAACTCCCTGAGGGACCGAGTTCCTGGGCTGAGGGCTGGAGACCATAGTCTCCGGGGACATCTAGCTCAATTGGCATAACGTAGTTTATAAAAGAAAATGTTCTTTATAAACTGCGGTGAGTAGCATCTGGGGTCTTAAAAGCCAGTAAGCAGCCATCTGAGATATATCTACTGGTCTCATCCTTGCTTAAGCAAAGGAAAATGAAGAAAACCAAAGACACAACTACCACAATCTCTGCCAGACTGAGCCCAGAACAACTAGATGGTGCCTGGCTACCACCACCAACTGTTTTGACAGGGATCACAATAGAGGGTCCCGGACATGGTGGGAGAAAAACGTAGAACAAAATTCAAATTCCCAAAAAAAAAGACCAGACTTGCTGGTCTGACAGAGACTGGAGAAACCCCAAGAGTATGGTCCCTGGACACCCTTTTAACTCAGTACTGAAGTCACTCCCGAGGTTCACCCTTCAGCCAAGGATTAGACAGGTCTATAGGGCAAACAATAACATACGTGAGTAGTTCAATCATGTACACGAGACTAAATGGGCATACCAGCCCAAAAGCAAAAATGAGAAGACAAGAAGGGTCAGGAAAACTGATGAATGTAAACAGGGAACCCAGGTGGAGAAGAGGAGAGTGTTGATACATCATGGGGTTGACAACCAATGTCACAAAACAATTTGTGTATGAATTGTTTAATGAGAAACTAATTTCCTCTGTAAACTTTCACCTAAAGCACAATTAAAAGGTAAGAGAGAAATTGACTCAAGATACAACCTAATCTTGTAGATTGTGTCCTACCTCATTAGCATAACTGCCTCTAATCCTGCCTCCTTAACATCATAGAGGTTAGGATTTACAACACAGGAAAATTATGGCAGATCACAAAATGGAGGACAACCACACGACACTGGGAATCATGCCGAGTCAAGTTGACACACATTTTTGGGGGGACACAAACAATCCATAACACCTGTTGTAACTAATAATTGCATCCTCTCCCATAATCTCAAATCAAACATCCTACTCTCTAACACTGCCTCACTCTCTAACTCACTCCCTCTAGCACCCTGACTCCAACAATCCATTCATCCTACCACATTCTTCTCTATTTCTTCTCCCATCATGTCCTATCAGCTTTGATGCTATGCTCCATCATTATAACCACTTACACTCAACCTCTATTTATCTTGCTCACCTCATAAAACACTAACCCTAATCAAATTCAAGTCTCTATCTGTTTGGTACTTGAAGCTGTGTCATTGAAACAAACAAAAAAACCTGTTGCCATCAAGTGGATTTCAACTCATGGCCACCCTATAGGACAGATTAGAACTGCCCTGAAGGGTTTCCAAGGAGCGTCTGGTGGATTTGAACTGCCGACCTTTTGGTTAGCAGCCGAGCTCTTAACTGCTGCACCACCAGGACTCCGTGCCATTGAAAGGGTAGAGAAATACAGAAAACTGAGCTGACTGGTCTCACTTTACACTCTCAACCACCAACCTCAAGTAGGCCCTTGGCGATCCCTGGCAATCCTACTATGTGTCCCTAGTCTATCCACTCTTCCACTTTCCTGAATGGTTATTTCACACCTTTTCCTCACTCTTCAAACTCCCAATACCCACCCCTACCTTTTCACACTTTCAGCTGATGACCTTGCTGCCTATTGCCCTGAGAAAATAGATGCAATCAGAAGAGAACTTTCACACGTTCCCACAACCACATCCGTACCCCTTTAATATGCCTTCCTACCTGAACCAGGATGAATAAATTGTCCCTGCTTCTATCTAAGGCCAACACCCCCATGTGCACTAGATCCCATCCTTGCCTACTGCAGGACATTCATCCTTCCAGTAATTGTTCCTTCTCCCTTCTGCATCAATTTTCTGTCTCTCTTAGATGATTCCCATCACATATAAAGATGCTGTAGTGACTCCGATTTAAAAACAAATAAAATTCTCTTGAACCGGTACCCTCTTCTGGTAACCACCTTTTTTTCTCTACTCCTTTTTGTAGCAAAATTCCTCAGAAGAGTTTTCTATATGGTAGCCACTAGCCTCATATGGCCAGTGAGCACTTGTAAAGTGGCTAATTCAAATTGAGATGTTCTGTAAGTGTAAAGTATACAGCAGATTTTGATGATTTAGTTCCAAAGAATGACAAGTAGCTCATTAATAATTTTTATATTGATTATATATTGAAATGATATTTTGACTACATTGGGCTAAATAAAATATATTATTACAATTGATTTTACCTGATTTTTTTTTTTTTACTTTTTTGATGCAGCTACTAGACAATTTAAATTACATATGTGTCTCTCGTTTGTGGCTTGCATCATATTTCCATCCGACAGGGCTGTCTGTACGGACTGTAACTTCTCCCATTCTCTCTTGAACCTACATCTGTTAGGCTTTTGTCCCCACCATTCCACCAAAATACATGTTCTCAAGGTTTCAATGATCTTCGTTTTGCTAGATCCAGTGGTCAGTTCTTCAGCCTTGTATCTGCAGCATTTATATGGTTAAGCATTGCCTTCTCATTGACCGCTTTCTTCACAGGGCTCCATTCTCTCCACTCTTCCTACTGCCTCACAAGCCACTGCTTATCCATCTCTTTTGGTGGTTCCTCCTCTCCTTGACCCCTAAATGTTGAAGTGCCCCAGGGCTCAGTCCTTTCACATCTTCACCTCCTGCACTAGCCTCCTCTGTGACCTCACATGATTTGATTTTAAATACAATCTATACACCTATCAAATGTTTGTCACCATCCTGGACCTCCCCATTGAACTCCAGACCTAGTATAGCCTACTCAGTATATCCATTCAGATGTCCAGTTGACAACTCACATGGAACAAATTCAGCACAGGGCCCCTGATACCCATCCCACCCTGTCTAATCCTTCCAGTTGCTTGGATCAAAACTACTGGAATCATCTTCTATTCCTCCTTTTTCATGCCTCTCATCTAGTCCATCAGCAAATCCCATCAGCTCTATCTTTAAAATAAATCCAGAATCTATTTCTCACCACCTCCAACACTACCACCCTGGTCTAAGCCTCCAGCTTCTCCCACTGGATAACTGCAGCAGCCCACTTGTGGTCTTCCCACTACAGTCTACTCTCCCTACAGCAGCAAGTGTGATTCTTCTAAAACTTTAGTTAAATCATGTCCCTCTCCTCCTGAAAATCCTCCATAGCGTCCCTTTCAAAGCATGCCCAGGAGGGATCCCCCACTTCCTTCTGACTTTATCTCTCCTATGCCCTCCCCCCTTTACCTGCTCTGCTTCAGCCACATTGGCCTCCTTGGTGTCCTTCTAACACACTAAGCATGCTGCTCCCTTGAGGCCTCTGAATTCTTCTGAAACAGGCTCCCTGCAGATAGCTACATGGCTCACCCCTTCACTTTTCTTTAGATCTCTGCTCAAATGACACCTAAAGAAATAGTTCCTTTCCCAGGCTCCTACCAGTGTCACTCTAGATCCCCTTTCCCGCTTCATTTTTCTCCTTAGCACTTACCACACGAACATGTAATATATATACTTATATATTTTTACATTTATAGAAATTATATATTTATAATATAAATAAGTATGGTATTATTTATATTATATTATTTGTATTATAGATATAGTATATAAATATAAATACAATATTTTATAATATAAGCTGTATATTTATATGTACTTATATAAATATGGAGTCCCTGGGTGGCACAAACAGTTAAGCGCTTGTCTGCGAACTGAAGGGTTGGCGGTCTGAATCCACCCAGAGGCACCTCAAAGAAAGGCCTGGCGATCTACTCTCTATAAAGATGACAACCATTGAAAACCTTATGGAGCACAGTTCTACTCTGACACACATGGAGTCGCCATGAGTCAGAGTCAACTCGATGGCAACTGGCTTTTATTTTTTTTGGTTATATATAAATACATTTTATTTTTATTTATTTTATTTATCTTTATATATAAAAATGTGTGTCTGTGTGTATGTTTACTGATCATTTGGTTTATTGTTGTCTCCCCCACCTGAATATAAACTCCCTAAGGGTAAAGACTCGGTCCATTTTGTTCACTGCCATAGCCCCAGGGTCTAGACCAGTGCCTGGCACAGAGCAGGTATTCATGTTTGTGGAAGGCATGAATATACCAGCACAGACTGAAAGCGACAGAGCTGAAATTGCCAAGTCTCAGTTCCATGCCTTAATGTGTGGTTTTCTTCCCCCTTGAAACGTATTCATTTAGACAATCATTCACTTGTTCAGCACGTATCTCTTGAACATCTGTTATATGCTAGGCACAAAGTAGATTTCTATGGGATCATTTATTTGTGCCCAGGAGGAAGGGGGTAGGCAGAGGGGAGAGAGTATGTGAGTACTGGCTCCCATGGGAGAGGGAGATAGGATACCATGGAGGATGTAAGGGGCACTGTAAAGAGACCGCGGACGCTGGTGGCAAACTTGACCTCCTTTACAACTTTGTCCAGCATCTGCCTGTTGCCTTGCTCCTAGCTCTCTGGCATGTGGTTTCACTCTTGGCATGGGTGATACCTGTACTCAGGAAACATCACACTTACATTCATCTGAGGATCCTCCTTCGCACAAACCTGGGGCACTGGCCCCTGGGCTGGAGAGTCCTGCAGTCTCTGCTATCCCAGGCTTCACTCAGAGAATTCAGAGCCCAACTGGGCTGCGAACCACTGTTCTCACAGCTCCTTCTCTCTTTCCTCCCTTCTAGGCTTTTTAGTGCAATTTTAGAACAAGCAACCAAAGCAGACGGGGCAAATGCTCTAGGAGGAAAAGGGGCTGGATTTGATGTGAAGGCGCTGAGGGCTTTCCGAGTGCTGCGCCCCTTGCGGCTGGTGTCCGGAGTCCCGAGTAAGTAAAGCCATTATTCTTGTTTAAAGTGTTCATCTTGTCACCACCTCTGCTGTCCTTCGCTGAATCGCCAAGAGCACTTTGCAAAGGAGCCTGATTTCATATAAATGGAGATTTTCTAATGAGTTCCTTTGCTTTAAAGAACCCAACTCTGATGTGAGTTAAACATCACAATGTTAAACACATTAAAGTACACTGTGGTCTCCGCTTGGTAGAAATTCTTAAGTCACACAGCCAAATGAAAGCAGCCTACATAGAGAAAACAGTTCATCAGCCATCTGAGCAATCCCCACAAGGCTCTGGGCCTGGAATTTAAATCTCTTTTTATCAGAGAAGCCAGGTGAGCAGACTTGGCTAATCTCTGAGGACAGGCAGAGTATTTTAGCCAATAGGATTATCTCTACTTTCTGTATTTTTCCAAAGTATAATCAGAAAAGCATCAATGGGTGTTCTAAAAGTTCTGCTGCTTCTCCACGCCCTCTCTTCCTTCCATGTCATGTGGGGCATCCCAGCTCTCAGAAACCCTGTTTATGGACACTCCACCTTTCATTGTGAGAACTGGTTTTGCCCAGTGAGTGAAGGGTGCTCAGCTCTCTGAATCAGACAGAAAGGCTTCTCTGGAAAGATATTGTCTATCAGGGTATCCGGTCACATAGACGTCTCCCCTTTGCCACTCCTCCAGAAGCCTGTCCCATTATGGATGAACATAGCCACTTGAGGTACCCAGCATCGGCTCCAGCAGACCCCAGCCCAGGGGGCTCCTGGGGGCTAAGTCAGCATTCGGAAAACACCTCTGTCCACTCCTCCTTGTCCAATCTGTGGTATCTGAGAATAATTAAGGACTTTCTTTGCTGAAGACTCATACTCTTAGGTTAGCTCCATTGGATCTCTAAGATGGCCCATGACCCAGGGCGTAGGAGAAGATACTTACGACTGGGCTGAAACCAGACTAGCTTGGAAATGGGAGCAGGGAATAGGAAGAGAAAGGGGTCCTCAGGATACACAGCCCTTCCTGCCTATACCCCACACCGGGCACTCAGGTTACATCTGTGCTGCTTAGTGATATCACTTAGAGTCACAAAACCATAGTAGTGTGAGGCGCCTAGCATTGCCTGTTTGATTCCTTTTTGCACATGGAAATTGAGACACAGAATAGGGAAAAGATCTTCCTAAAGTAACTTAGTTAACTAGCACCAGAGCTAGGACTAGAACCAGGTCTCCTGACTTTCAGACCAACTCTCTTTCTTACCATACCACACTCCCTTTTTTGAAGAATTAAATGGTTATATAACTCTTGCTTGTTTCAGTTATATTATAAGCCTCTTGAAGGGCAGAACCATGGCTTATATTGTCTCTGATCCCTGCACAGTGTCTTGAACAGTCTCTGCACATGGTAGGAGGATTTACTGAATAAATGAGGATAGGAGTTTGTTTTCTTTGCAGTAGGGACCCCTGTGCGAAGCTTTTGACCTCTCTTAAGCTTGAAAGGGGGCTTAGAGCTAAACCACATAAGTACATTTAAACCGAACGCTCTCTACTTGGCCTTAACTATTTTGGGGCATCCATGGGGCAGTTCTAATGGAGCCCTGGTGGAGCAGTGGTAAAGTGCTTGCATGCTAACCAAAAGGTCAGCACTTTGAACCCACCAGCCGCTCCATGGGAGAAAAATGTGGCAGTCTGCTTCTGTAAAGATTGTTGTTGTTGTTCGGAGTCAGTTCCAACTCAGCAACCCTGTGTACAACAGAATGAAACACTGCCCGGTCCAGCGCCATCCTCACAATCGTTGTTATGCTTGAGCCCATTGTTGCAGCCACTATGTCAGACCATGCTGTTGAGGGTCTTCCTCTTTTTCTCTGACCTTCTACTCTACCAAGCATGATGTCCTTCTGCAGGGACGGCTCCCTCCTGATAACATGTCCAAAGTATGTGAGACAAGTCTTGCCATCCTCGCTTCTAAGGAACATTCTGGCTGTACTTCTTCCAAGACAGATTTGTTCATTCTTCTGGCAGTCCATAGTGTATTCAATATTCTTCGCCAACAGCATAATTCAAAGGCATCGATTCCTCTTCGGTCTTCCTTATTCACATTCATTGGATAGCTTTCACATGCATATGAGGCGATTAAAAACACCACAGCTTGGGTCAGGCATACCTTACTCCTCAAAAATGGCATCTTTGTTTTTTAACACTTTAGAGAGGTGTTTTGCAGCAGATTTGCCTGATACAATATGTCGTTTGATTTCTTGACTGCTGCTTCCATGGGCATTGATTGTGGATCCAAGTAAAATGAAATCCTTTACACCTTCAGTATTTTCTCTGTTTATCATGATGTTGCTAATTGGTCTAGTTGTGAGGATTTTTCTTTTCTTTATGTTGAGATGTAATCCATACTGAAGGCTGTGATCTTTGATTTTCATCAGTAAGTGCTTCAAGTCCTCCTCACTTTCAGCAAGCAAGGTTGTGTCATCTGCATAACGCAGGTTGTTAATGAGTCTCCCTCCAATCCTGATGTCCCAGTCTTCTTTATATAGTCCAACTTCTCAGATTATTTGCTCAGCATACAGATTGAATAAGTATGGTGAAAGGATACAACCCTGACACACACCTTTCCTGTTTTTAAACCACACAGTATCCCCTTGTTCTGTTCGAACGACTGCCTCTTGGTCTAAGGACAGGTTCTTCATGAGCACAATTAAGTGTTCTGGAATTCCCATTCTTCGCAATGTTATCCACAGTTTTTATGATCCACAGAGTCAAATGCCTTTGGATAGCCAATAAAACACAGGTAAATATCTTACCATGATCTATCTGACATCAGCAGTAATATCCGTTGTTCCACGTCCTCTTCTGAATCTGGCTTGAATTTCTGGCAGTTACCTGTTGGGGTATTGCTGCAACTGCTTTTAAATGATCATCAGCAAAATTTTACAGCCTTGTAAACCCTATGAGGCAGTTTCTATCCTGTTCTATAGGGTCACTATGAGTCAGAATTGACTCGACAGTAACAGGTTTGGGTTTTTTTGGATGGGGCAGTTCTACTCTGTCATATAGGGTTGCTATGATTTGGAATTGACTCAACGGCACACAACAACAGGGACAGAAACCATATATGTTATGGCCAAGGCCCAATTCTCCTTTTGTGAGGCATAAATTATCTGAGTTTTCTTTACCACCCAGCCATATTTCAAAAGACCAAAATCAGGCAGTTGGAAAGGAGGGTGAGAGGGACTTCATTTTTTTAAATTGTTATTAGGTGAAAGTTTACAGAGCAAATTAGTTTCTCATTCAAAAATTTATACACAAATTGTTTCCTGGCATTGGCTGCAATCCTGCATTGTGTCGGCACTCTCTCTCTTTCCCTTTTACCCTGGGTTCACTATGTCCATTCGTCCAGTTTTCCTGTCCCCTCCCTCCTCTCATCTTTGTTCCTGGGCAGGTGTTGCCCATTTGATCTCGTACGCTTGATTGATCTAAGAAGCACGTTCCTCACATGTGTTATTGTTTGTCTTACAGGCTTGCCTAATCTTTGGCTGAAAGGTGAACTTTGGGAGTGGCTTCAAGTCTAAGTTAGAAGGGTGTCTGGGGGCCATAGTCTTGGGGGTTCCAACAGTCTCTGTCAGACCAATAAGTATGGTCTTTTTGTGAATTTGACCATTTGTTCTACATTTCTCTCCCCTTCTGTCCAGGACCCTCTGTTGTAATACCAGTCAGAGCGGTCGGTAGTGGTAGCTAGGCACCATCTAGTTCTTCTGGTCTTGAGGTCTTGTGGGCTGTGATTCATGTGGTCCATTAGTCCTTTGGACTAATTGCTCTCTTGTGTCTTTAGTTTTTTCCCTCTTCTTTGCTGCAAACTAGAAGGGATTGATAGTTTTATCTTAGCTAGCTGCTTGCAAGCTTTTAAGACCCCAGATACTACTCACCAAAGTAGGATGTAGAACACTGTCTTTAAGAACTATGCTGCGCCAGAGAGGGACTCTGAACATGACTTTAACGAGCTTAATGTGTCAGTGATAGGAAGTATGAATAAATTAAGGACTTCAGTCAATGGGCATGATAAATCTTACCCCACTCTGTATGAACTTATTGTTGTTTGTTGTTTGTTGCTGTCAAGACTGCTTTGACTCATGGTGACTCTATGTTTAACAGAATGAATCATTGCCCAGTTTTCACAGCATTGTGCTGAGTGTTAGGGCATATCATAAAGAATAAATGTAGTCCTTTCACTTGAGGAATTTAACAGTCTAATAGAAGTATATATTAGTTGGCTTTTGCTGCAGGAACAAACAACCCCAAACTCTCAGTGACTTACAACCACAAACATTTATACCCAATTCAGATTACATAAGAATGGCATGTCAGCTGCAGCTCTGCTGGGCTCGGGTGGGCTTTGAGTTTGACCACATCTGTGTTCCATCTCATTCCAGAGCCCAGGTTGAAGGAGCAGCCACCATGTGGGCCACGTTGTTCTATGGTAGAGGGCAAAGCTCAAAAAGGGAGCATATAGGACATCATTCTTGGTAGCATATAGCTAAACGACACAAACGTAAAGTTCATGCTCAAATGTGTCTTATACCACATCTGCTCATATTCCACTGGCAAGAGCAAATCACATGGCTAAACTCAAAAACGATGGGGCGTAGAATTATACTGTACCTACAGAAAAGTATAGGCAAATAATTATGAACAAATAGTACAAGCGAACACAGATTGAGGAGATTATTATAAGAAATAGTTACAGTAATTACTCTAGTACAGAGATTCTTAATCAGAAATGCAAATGGTTGAGAGCCACTCATGCTTCAGTGCATTAGAAGGGAGAATTAGATTAGGTAGAGTAGCTAGGGTTCACTGTAGAAGAAACTAAAGACAGTGTCTTGTCTCTATCTGTATTTTGGAAAAGGATAGCATGAGATCCTGTCACTGCCCTGCTTAGAACCCTCCAAAACTTCCCCAGCTCACTTAGAGTGAGAACCAAAGTCCTACAACGCCCTCATGATCCC